CCTCCACCTCTTCCCTTAGCTCACCTTAACATCCACAAGCACGTCATCAAGAGGTTCAGGAAACTGCCAGCTCATGGCCCGATCGGTCTCGGAGAACATCACTCCTCCTCTCCCCTCTGTCAGATCTCGCTTCCCCCAAGACAGCAGCGTCACGTCGAACTCCAAGGTCGCAAACGGCTTCATGCCATCCCAAGGGGGGTTTGCTCCGTAGCCATACGCGCCCTTGACGATGAAGTTGGCTCGCTCCCCTTGCTTCATGGTGGAGACGCCGATCTCGAGTCCTCTCACAATCTCCCTCTTGCCATACCGAAACACCAGCGGGTCGTTGACTGTCCTGTTGAGAAAGCACTTGTCCGGTTGCTGGTACACCCTTCCGACCACAACTAGGGACATTTCATCTCCCACCGACAGCTCAGGGCTCAGCCATCCAGGCTCTAGGATCTGCTTCTGCACTCCACTGTCTTCCGTGAGAGACACAGTCCTCTCGTCCTCCGAGCAAACCTCTGGGAACTCATCACCCCCTCCCCGAAGCCGCAAGGCAGCCATGTTCGCTATACCTCCCTTCCCACGGAGACTTTGTCTCTTGCATGTCCTAACTGCATGAGGGTCTAGACCCGATGTGGGAGACGAGTAGTCTCCTCCTGCTGCCCACCCCTGCCCACCCCCCAGCATCGCCAGCGCTGCTGCCAACAACCCCACCACTCTCCGCCATCGCACCATTGGGATCCCCGCAACACGTTGCAGCTTTTGGAATCCGTTACAACCCAACTATCGGGGCCCGGGGCCCGGGGGGGGCTACCAACACTGAGTGGATTACTCAGTGTTTTAAAAGTGTTTTAAATGGCAGTTACACAGAAGGTTTTAGTGTAACGGATATAAGTACCGGCGGACGTTCTTTATTCCTCTGCGCTATTCATGATCTGATGACCCACGTAATGACCCCACCCTATGACTGTCCATGACTCTATTTAAGGGGGTGGTAGGACTGAACACATTTGTCATGGGTAGTGTTGATATCACGGTAGGGGTTATCCCTCATTAGTGATCTCACGAAAAGGGTGAGGGTACATATTTCTACTACCAAAAGGGGGGTGAAACACTATCAAATAGGGGTAGAGGGTGGTCAATGGTGACAAGGAGGCCGGGGGGTGGGGTGGGGTAACGTGAGGACGTAGCTGATCCTGTCAGGGACCATCGTCATGACCTTCTTCAGCCAGGCATTCTCGAGCCACCCCTACCCCTCCATCTCCCCAGAATTTATTAATAGGACTACCCACCCCTGGTAGGCTTTCCATCCTCCGATCTGATACAGTTACGATCGTTACATCACATTGTACCCCCACCCCCTCATGTACCAGCCTTTTCCACCGTTTCACAGAATCACGGCCCCACCCCTCCATCCACCTGCCCCATCCCATGGACCCACCCCTTGCTGATAGACTTTGCACTGGACCCCCCATTCTGGAGAGCATGGTTCACGACCCACGTCACTCTCGCTGACTACACCCGTACTTATGGGGTGCAACGTACCGGTTAAATTTGTCCACGGATAAGATAAGCTCTGTACCCCTATCACTTTCATCCACTACCCCTGTACCTTCCTAGTACCACCCCTGTAAACTAGAACCCCATGCGGCTGACGTTCGATCTGTGACCGAGAGACCCCATGGTTATGCGATCAGGTACCCCTACCCCCTCGAGGGTCTTGAACAGAACACCTCAGGACCCACCCTGATCATAGCTCAGTCATCGCTTTGTATGACAGAACCCGTTCATTTCCCTCTCATACTACCCACCCCCTACCATACCCACCCCATGTTCTAGAGTCATATATCTCCCAACTGGACACCCCACCCTGTGTTGCGTCCAGTAGCAGTACCCTGACTATAGTGCCAACATCTGGGACCCGACAACCACCAGATACCTCAGTGAATTTGCCTACCCATCCCATTCCTGAAATTACCCTTACAAATAGCTTTAGACACCAGTCAAAAGTATAGGTAGGGTATTATACCCTACCTATACTTTTTGAGATCATGTTTGCCCCCACCCTACGAAAATTACTACCCCACCCCACATTGTTTACGCCCCTCCCCCTTCTATAAAGCGTTCCATCGTCCCCTGCTCCACCAAATTGCCACTCCTCCTCCTCCTCCTCCATTCCCCCATTGCGATCGCATTCCCGCCTCTCCCTCTCCTACTCGTACTCTTGAAACAAGTTTGAACTACCCATGTCCAGAAGAATCCTCGTTATCGGTGGTGTTGCCGGCGGTGCCTCTGCAGCTGCTCGTCTCCGCAGGTTGGACGAGAACGCTACCATCACTGTCTTCGAGAAGGGACCCTTCGTGTCCTTTGCCAACTGCGGTCTCCCCTACTACGTCGGAGACGTCATCAAGGATGACAAGGATCTTGTCATCGCTACCCCTGCTCGATTCAAGGAGCGCTTCAACATTGAGGTCAAGACCATGCACGAAGTCTTGAAGATCAACAAGGAAGACAAAACCATTGAGGTTAAGGACCTCAACACTGATGACACCTCTGTCGAGAGCTACGATGCTCTCGTGCTTGCTCCTGGTGCCTTCCCCATCCGCCCTCCTCTTCCCGGCATCGACCTCCCCGGAATCTTCCTCTTGCGCACCATCCCAGACAGTATGCAGATCCGTGCTTGGATGGATCAGTACAAGATCAAGAAAGCTGTTATCGTTGGCGGAGGCTTCATTGGCCTTGAGACCACTGAGAACCTCGTTCATCGTGGTGTTGAGGTGACCATCGTCGAGATGGGCACTCAAGTCCTCCCTCCTATGGATCCAGGTGCCTCCCTCAAGTCTTCTTTCGCTTGCTTGTACTGACGCATATGGGTCGCAGAGATGGCTGAGGTCCTTCACGAGCATTGCAAGGCCAAGGGCGTCAACCTCTGCTTGGGCGATGGCGTCGCCGGCTTCTACAAGACTGACACCGGCCTTGAGGTCGCTACTCAGTCGGGCGCTCGCTACCCATGCGACGTCGCCATCCTTGGCATCGGTGTCCGCCCTGAGACCAAGCTGGCCAAGGAGGCTGGGCTTGAGCTCGGCAAGCTGGGAGGGATCAAGGTTGACGAGCAGATGCGCACGTCTGACCCCAACATCTGGGCTGTGGGCGACGCAGTGGAAGTGAAGGACTTCGTGACGGGACAGATGGCGTTGATCCCCTTGGCCGGGCCTGCGAACCGTCAGGTGAGATGCGGTAGTGTGAGGTCGGGGAGGGGAGGCTGACTGGGAGTGCTCAGGGTCGCATTGCTGCCGACGCGATCAACGGGCGATCGAGCACCTTCCGTGGTGTGCAGGGCACTGCTGTGTGCGGAGTGTTCGACAAGGTGGCGGCGGCAACCGGAGCGAGCGAGAAGACGCTCAAGCGGTACGGGATCCCCTACGAGAAGGTCTACCTTCACCCCAACCATCACGTTGGCTACTTCCCCGGAGCCAGGAACATCAACTTCAAGCTTCTCTTCAACCCTCAGGACGGAAAGATCCTCGGAGCTCAGGCGATCGGAGAGGCTGGCGTGGAGAAGCGTATCGACGTCGTTGCCATGGCGATCCAGCAGGGCATGACGGTGTACGACCTGGAGGAGTCAGAGCTGTGCTACGCTCCTCAGTTCGGAGCTGCCAAGGACCCTGTCAACCTTGCCGGTATGGTTGCCGCCAACTGCCTCCGCGGGGACGCTCCTGTGATTCAGTGGGAGCCGATCATCAAGGGGGAGTGCGACCCCAACCACGTGCTGGTGGACGTACGAACCAAGGGCGAGGTGGCAAACGGCATGTTCACTGGTGCTCGCAACATCCCCATCGATCAGATGCGCGAGCGCATGTCTGAGCTCCCCAAGGACAAGCCCATTTACGTGTACTGCGGGGTTGGAATCCGAGGATACAACGTGGTGCGCATGCTGAAGCAATGCGGGTATGACGCATACAACGTGCCGGGAGGATGGACTACATACAGTTTCTTGTCAAAGTGTGTCAAGTAGACTTGCTAGCTGATACTTCTGTTTTCTAATTTGAGTGAATTGTTTTTTGTTGAATACATTTGGCACAAAATGAGAAGAAAACAAACAAAGAGACAGTTTCCAAATTTGTTGTCAAGGAAGAAAGAACA